CAGAAAAAAAGAAAACACAGCAGACAGAAAGACACACAGGCAGACAGATAAACACACGGCAGAAAAAACAGATAAGCAACTAGACAGACAGATAGATAGAAAAAGAAACAAAAAAGAGTTCCCCTAAAAGTGGTAAATGTCATCGCCCAAAACTAACGTCGCATTAAAACAAAATAACACCAATTCAAGGGGGGTTTCTTATCCCAGATTCTAAAAATTGCAGAGTAAATTTTACTTTTGGGTCATGGACCCCCGGTTAACATATTTTTTCCTTCAGAATATTTTTTTTTATAACTACGTTTTTTCCCAAAAAAAATTTGGAAGAAAAATTTCAACCCCCAAACTACCCCAACCTTACATAAATAAAACTTACATAATTTCCCATCGGAGTATCGTAAGTGGGGGTTTCACTTATTTTTTAAATTTCTAACAATAGAAAAAATTTGACCAACCCTAAAAAGTTCCCCTTTCGTGGTTGGACAAATTTTATCTATTTGGTCCTAATATTATAAAAAAAGTTTCTATAAAATCACGAATTTTTAAATTTCAAAAATCAAACAATTTTTTTTTTTTTTGGGGCCGTCCCCACGAGGCGGGGTGCCCCAAAAAAGAAAGAAATCCCCAAAAAAAATATTTTTCCATCTCAACATTTTTCACCAACCCACTTTACCTTTTTTGCGGGTGCTCAAAAATAAAAATTTAGAAGCATACCTTTAAAAAGAACAAAACATATCCCTCCAAACTGCAAATACCCCAAACCCCTCCTTTAAAGTGCAGGCATTGTACTTCCCATTTCCAGGACTCAAGTCCGACTATATGAAAAAAACCGGTTTCCCTAAATCCCTTCACTAAATATTACCCTGCTCACACTCCAACAGATCGTCAGGTCCCAAGTACCATTCGTCTCCATTCACTCCTATCTAACACGCTCACAACCGCTTGCGGAAGTCCCAAGCCCCTTGCCACAAAACCTCCTTTACCCCCTCTCTCCAACCCTTTCGAGGACGACCCCTACCCCGCCTTCCTTCCCCTATAGTTTTTATATGCTTTCCATGTCATTTTTACTTTGATCCATTCTCTCTAAATGACCAAACCACCTCAAAAACCCCCCTTTCTTCTGCCCTCTGACTAATACTTTTATTAACTCCACACCTTTGCCTAATTTCCACACTCCGAATTTTCTGCATAATTTTTTACATCACACATTGCCCTTAAACAGGACATCTCCACTGCCTCCAACCGTCTCCTCGCTGCTGCATTTACCACCCAAGTCTTCACACCCATATAAGAGTGTTGGTACTGCATACTTCATACTTTCCCTTCTTTGCCTCCATAGATAACGTTTTTTGACTCCACATAACCCTCAACGCACCACTCACCTTTTTTTCCCTCACAATTCTATGATTAACCTCATCCTTCATAAATCCATCCGCCGAAAACGTCAACTCCCAAGTACCCTGAAAACATTCACTTCTTCCATACTCCTCCCCCCAATTTGATATCCAATTTTTCTTTATTTAAATCATTTGACCCCTCATCACCTTACTCTTTTCTATGTTCACTTTCAACTTTCAAACCCTTTACACACACTCCCAAACTCATCCACAAACCCTTTTGCAATTTTTCTTTAGAATCTCCCATAAGCACAGTATCATCAGCAAAAAGTAACTGTGTCAATTTCCATTTTGAATTTGATTCCCCCAAATTTAATCCCACCCCTCTCCCGAACACCCTAGCATTTACTTCCTTTACAACCCCATCTATAAATATATTAAACAACCATGGTGACATTACACATCCCTGTCTAAGACCTACTTTTACATAAAAATTATTTAAATTAAAATAAAAATGAGGAAAAAAGGTATATCATCAACACTTCTGCAAGTGGCAGGACTTGATGTTGCCGTCAGGTGAGCATCCAGTGCCAACTTCGTGGGCTTATATCTCGGTCCTAAATTTTTTTTGTCTTATTACACACAGAAAATGGCCCTCTTTAATTAAAAAAAAAAAAAAAAGATTTTTTCTTCAAAATATTCAGAGCGCTGAGCGAGTGAACATAGATCTACATTTGGACAGTTTAAGGGTTAATACATTACAAGTTCTCCATATTTGTCAGCAAAGGATAACTAAGCATCAGTTTAACTAATAACATACCACAATCCCTCTCGCCACGGGTAAAATAGACAGTAGGTTGAGTCTTGTGCCCTGTCTCATCCACACACCAGCACTTTGGGTCATCTGTGAAGCCCTGCTCATCACTGGATGGTGTGTAACACTGTGTGGGGATGAATCGACCCTCTTCATCACACTGCGCTACATATTTCATTGAGTTATTTTCCTGAAGGTGTCGCTGGAGAAGTTGGCAGCGTGTCAGAGTTGGTTCTCCCTCCAGATAAATAGTCACAGGGCCACTGTTCTTGCTGAGTTCATCTGAGTCTTCCTCAGTGCTGTTAATGTTGTCTTCTTCATTTTTTTTTCATTGTCGTTGCTACTGGACTCCTGCTGTACAGCAAAGATCAGGGTTAAAACACCCTGCAAGCAAGTTTTTCCAAAAAAAAAATTTAATAAAATTTT